TTTGTGGTTTTCACCACAATTTGAACATTTAAATTTCTTAGGATCTTCCTTCACAGGACAGTCGTCCTTTGCGTGAGAGGAATCACCACAATTCATGCATTTAGCTGGCATGTAGCAATTTTTAGTTCCGTGACCCCATCCCTGGCACTTACGGCACTGGGTGAGGTTTTGGAAATTTCCTCCAGTCTTCCTGAAGTGTTCCCACTTCACTCGGACATGGAGCATAAGGCTAGCTTTTTCTAAGGCCTTAAGGTTGTTTAGTTCACTAGACTTGAAGTGAACTAAATAAAAATCATTAGAAATCCCGTTGCGCGAATCGCCAGGACGGGATTTCATTTTCATTTTGATTACTTGGAGTGGCACAACTCCAAGTAATTTTGCCAGTTCATCTTTGATCTGATCCAGGGATTCACCACTGGGCAGTCCTTTCATGACAACCTTGAACACACGTTCAGTTTTGGTGTCGTAAGTAAAAAATTTGTGCTTCTTCTCAGTAAGATACTTGAGAAGACATTTAAATCCGTCCAAGGTTTCAGCCAATACACGGCATTCACCCCGACGTCCAATTTGTAGTGAAAACTTAACTTTCACGAAATTCAAAAGTTCCATGCGAAGAGCATGGAAATCGATAGTGGTTATCACAATAGGGGGAATCTTTTCCTTCTTGGCATTAAGCCGGGAAAGTTTACTAGAATTTTTCTTGGATGATGGATCATTCTCATCATCCGTGAGCAAATCAAATTGATTACTCAAATTAATTTCATCAGAAGGGGGGTCAAGAGTTTGCCCCTTTCTTTTGCGTTTAGGCGCCATGGCGGCAGTAAATTTTTATCCAAATCGACTTCCAAGCAGATTACTATAAGAATCTGAAGGATCGAAGAGGAATTTTCCAAATCGATATCCAAGAAGGATTACCTCGGGTAGGGTCCAAACAAGGATCGAAGAGGAATAAGAGTTGAACAAGGTAGAAAATGTTTACAGGTTGAGCACTGAAAAGTGCTGTTTAAATTTGTTGTAGCTTTAGGTAGTAGTAACACTTCCTTCAGCAAAAAGCAAATAGATCCGCACGGCAAGAGAGCACGATGCGGACTGAGATAAAAGTTGGTTCGTCCGGAAACTGCACAGTGTACAGTCCATGTTGTGCGTGGTCGAACAATAGACATCCGTCCCGGTTCCTCTGGTAGTTCCGCCAAGCTTCATGGTGGGCATTCAGGTCGCCCCCAACGATGAATCAGGAGCTAGTATGGGTGATGGCGGTCAGGTCCTTCTTGAATTGGATTCCTAATCCGTTGCTTGTGGTACACTGGCGTGGGCAGTAAACAGCGATGAACCGGACGTTTCCAGTTGGTGATACCACCTCCACACTAATGGCCTCGATGATAGAAGTGCGGATGTGGGACAGAGTGCAAAACTTGATTCTCTTTCTGACGATGACCGCTACACCCCCCCCCCCTTGGAGCTGGTGCGATCAAGCCGGATAATGTTGTGGTCAGGCAACCAGAAGCTGTCACCGGACTTTAGGTGGGTCTCGGTTAGAAGAACCACGTCGATGCTATGCTTGCGGAGGAAGTCGGCAAGCTCAATCTGTTTTGCTCTTACAGAGCAAGCATTCCAGGTGACGATAGTTAGCGGTTTAGACGATGAACTTACCGAGCACTTGGATCTGTTTGGGCTTATTGCGGCACTTACGAAGAGCACCGGACATGTTGACGAAAATTTCCATCAGTTCATTCGCTGAGAACAGATCGGGGTTGTTGTTTTGCGCTGGTGGTTGTCCCCAGAATCCAGGGGGGATGGAGAGCTTTGGCCAGCAAAATCACCAGAAGTTGCTTGAGCGGACTGCACCCGCGAATTCGCTTGCCTTTGCTGAGGAGCACGAAGAGGCGGGAAATCCTCCGTCCGAAATGCCGGGACTTTGTCCTTCTTGCGTCCTGGTTGGTTGTTAGTTGCCGCCTGTTTTCGGATGCGTTTGAAGTCCTCGTGTTTAGAGCACTGTCTGTCGGAACCTTGGTGAGCACCACCACAGTTGGCGCATTTTAACGCCACGGCTCCATCCGCAGGGCAGTCGGAAGTGGCGTGGTCTTGAGCGCAATTGCTACAGCGTGGCTTAATGTTGCAGTTGCGGGTGCCGTGTCCGAAGTTCAGACACCGTTGGTACTGAGCCACATCACGATGGGCGCCACGGTATTGCTCCCAGCGGACGATGATGGAATTGATGGAGCGGATGGCTTTCAGCGCGTTGAGCGTCACCGTTCCCTTCTGGAAGTGTACCAGGAAAAGGCTATCCGGATACGCCTTCACATTTTCGTCCTTCCTTGTCATCCGATAGACGGCACTTGGGGCCAGCTTGTACCGGTCTCTGATTTCAGCTTCGATAAACTTCGGGTCAAAGTTTGGTAGGCCCTAATGACGACCTTGAATGGCTTCTCACCGGGAATGTCGTGGGTGAAGAATTCCACCTTGGAAGTCCTCAGTTGGGCGACGACCAAGTCATACTCCGCTTTGGTACGGAGCACCACCTTGGTGCTGACTCTGCCCAACTTGTATTCGGCTTTAACGCCCAGCATCGCTAGATCTGCGATGAGCTCATTAAGATGGGCATTTGTCACTACCAATGGAGGTAGCTTCACTTTTGCCGCACTCGGGCCGGCAGGATTTTCGTTGCCGATGGCGTCGCCGAAATCACCGATGTCGCTGGCGTTCGTCGTAGTGACATCGGACTGGCCTCGATTCTTCTGACTGGATATTCCCATCCATGGGGAGAACAGCAAACTTGTTCGAGGTAGGCACACCGGAGCATCCTTCTCCGGGGTTCTGGACCTTCGCCGGGCTTCGCGACCGATGCTTCCCCATTTCGGGGCACACACATACGCACGACAAACCGCGAAAGAGAGAGCGCGAATACTATCGCCACGAACTTTTCAAACAACTCGAGAGACCGAGCTAACACCAAACTGAACTGCTTGACGATCAAGCAGAGAATGACTGTGAATGAGGCTAAGGACCGCTAGTGGGGTCTATTTTATACCTGCAGATACGCGAAGTATCAATGGTACGCATTTTCCAGCCGTTTACCAGCCTAACACGTTGTAAATAGTATCGCTATATCAGAGGTGCTTGTAAAATCAATATCAAGCATGACATTTTGCTCCAACATCACGTATGATGTTTATGATTATGCTTTTTCGATTTTCTGATTAAAAAAGAATTTCCAAGCAATACTTGGAGCATTCCTAAGGAATTATGAGGAGAAATTGAACGATTCTTTCATACATGATTCCATTGGAATTTTAGAAGAATGCTTTGGAGAAAGGAATTGTGAAGAAAATTCCAGGTGAATTTTAAGGCGAAGAAGTGAAGAGAAATCCATAAAAAATGAAAGGAGAACATCACTGAAGCTGGGTGACCAGTGAACTGGGAAATCAAAAAAACCTGGAAAAAATTGGAAAATACCATAGATTTAGATGATAAATCGGGAAGAAATTAGAAGAGAATAAATTGTAACTAGACTCCAAGGCAATTATGAAAAGAATTCCAACGTGATTGTGAGATGAGCTCGAGATGCAATTAACCCTTTGTCTGTAACTTGGGGTCAATTTGACTCCAGGCCACGTTGAGAGGCTGTATTTGTTCATTTGTCGATAGAACACATATAGAATTCGCACACCGATATAGGCATCTCACTTTGTCTATAGTAAATAAATGTAAATCACACCATACCAATGCAACAATTTTTAAAATGTATTATGACAATAATTCCGTATATAAACCCAAGCAGTTCATTGATAAACACAGATACTTTCGATCAAAGAACCTTTTCGGATTGCAATCCTCTCCTGCCGACCTTGGGATACACAGGTTTGGACACCGCTTATTGGAAAAGAAATTCCCCAAAGGTTCTGCGATCCTCTTCTGCCGTCTGGGATAAACCGGATGAGGACACCGCATCCATTCTTTGATTTTGCTGCGAGCCTGCACACGCTAAAAGGGCATAATACTACCAAGAAAAAGAAAGATAGCGATAAGTTAAGAAAACTAAAGTTAATAAATAATTATATATATATATGTATATTGTTAGAGATGCTTAACGTCAAATATTAGACTTAAAGCTGTCATTTTATACGATAGATGAAGAGGTGAAAGTATAGAGATAGTTCCGTTAGAGTACGGTAGTGTGAAAATTGTATATAGAGAGCATAAACCGAGTAAAGGTCAATTTTGAAGAAGGCACGAATCGGGTTGAGCATCTCCCTTACCAAATTCCCCTATTGGGGAGTGATGGTGAGTGGTATCTCCCCCCGCCACCACTGGCAAAAGAGATGATCGCCGATTTGCTCACGTATCTTCGATGTGCGGAAACAGTTCTATCGATTGTTCCACGCTCAAGTCGTCTAGCATGATCTAGTCGATAGGTTTGCAAACAATTAAACAAAGTTTCATGCAAATCGGAAAAGGTTGAAATATTCTTACTGTGAATTATAACAATTCGGTTTAAAACTTTGGTTCAAGGGGAAGTTAGGCACTTAAATGGGTTAAACTCTATCTCGTCAGTGATCATAAATATGAGCCTGGTACTGCTCATGTAAGACTCCACAGCAAAAAATTAATTTTAATATTACATCCAAGGGGATGCAATTCAATCATGTCGAAAATCTCATGTAATTTTTAAGGCCACAAAAATATAACAAATGCAGTGAAAGCAGCGTTCATGCACTGTAATAATGATAATTTTGTTCTTTTTGGCAGGTAATATTACACCATATTTTCGACCGATTGAAGTGCATCCACCTTGATGTGATATTAAAATTAATTTTTTGCTGTGTCGTCATGCGGTTCCAGCTTATTGCATTCAATAGAAAAACTGTGATTAATTTGTAAGCACTCTGATTGCTGCCATTGTGTCATGTGACTATTCTCCGATTTCATTTAATGCCCAAATAATGTATATTGAAAATAAATCACCATTACATTTAATATCATTTTTACCATTTTCTCACCAGACAATTTTCCTCCCGCCGATGCGCTCGTTGTGGCTCAGGAATCAGTGCTTCGGAGCTGGTGATGCGGGCCAAGGACCTAATATTCCACGTCAACTGCTTCTCCTGTGCAATATGCGGCCAAGTGCTGCGAGGTGGTGACACCGCTGGAATACGCGACGGTCGCATCTTCTGCGGCGAACACTACGACACCGATGTGCTCAGGTAAAATTTAATAAGACCCCCTTCCCTACGCTCCCCGACGTGTAACATTGAATATTGATTTTCCTCCGCCGAAAAAAAAGTCTCTCTTTTGATTGTTCAATTATCATTCTTCGAATCTCGCTAACCCAACACATATTGTACGACCATTTCTCTGCTAACCACCAACCAGTGAACCAGAAACAATTTCATCACAGTTTTATCCCGGTGGACATCAGCCGTTGCAACCGCAACAACAACAACAGCAGCAATCTCAAAAAGGACGACCTCGAAAGCGAAAACCAACATCGCAGCTGCTAGATCCTCAACAACAGCAACAGAATCAACCTCCCCCAACGCATGAGCCACTGGATGCCGGTACGCCACTGCGATTAGGTGAGTACGTACAGTAAGGATGTGACGTGTTCTTGTTGTAAAGCTACTGCTATCTTACCGAGGGTGGTAGGGTTGACCTGAAACCTATCAAGACAATTCCATACACTTGCAAAGTTTTCGTAGAATATCTGCTGTTCTTATTCATGTATTTTCTATTGACTGAGTCCGTTATCTTTAGATCTGATGTATTAAGACCCACCCTGCTATTTCGCAACGAACGAAAAAAAATTGCAGTTTTTGTCGTTGTGCGAAAAACATATTACTTACGTGACTTTTGCTGATAATGTCCTCCCGATAAGGCACTCCATTCTGTGTGAGAACCGAATTGCATCCCTTCGAGAGGCACGCTCATCCCTCTTTTGCGTGGATGCTGCGGGGGACAACCAAAATCAACGTGGTACGTGCAATTTCCATCTCCTCTTCTGTGTGTATCTGTACTGTCAACACAGAAGGGAACAAAAGCCTTATCAAGAATGCACTCTTGGGAGAGTGCATGGTGACAATGTAAAGTATGTTTATGTTATGCATAAAAGAACATAAAATAAGGGTCGACAGTGAGTGCCAAGTGTGGTACTTGAACGCTAGAGAATTTCCAGGAGCAGTAAAAACAAAAGGGTTTCGGTTGTCAGCGATTTTTGTTGTTTTAGTTTAATGCTGATCGTTGTTGATTTGCTTTTATTTATCCGCTTGAGTCGATACAAAAGCCAATTTAGAGGTTACGTTTTTAATTGTCCCTTTCAACGTTTGAAGCAGATGTATGTAAATGTTATTGCCGGAAGTTTGCTCTGCCAAACAATATCCGATTTGTGTGTGCAACAACCATCAACAGCATATTGGAAAGTGGATATTTTTCCGCAAATCCCCCGTGAGCCGTTAAGCTTTCTGCGCTCTCACCTCAAGGGACCCGTCACGGCGAGTGGAATTCGTGTTTTTCTAATTGTTCCTAAACGACGTACCACTTTATTTGCCAAATCTGGACGCCGGGTTGCCCCCTAGGAGAGGTTTCGCTCACCGGCGAACGAACCTCCCGTCAACGACAGCCAGGACCAGGACGAGTGCTGCAACATGGTGGTCCGCTGGAGGAGCCGTATGGCCATAAATCGCTACCGAGCTGGGACATGAAAATGCCACCGCACACGCACGCAAAGTGAGTTGCTCTCGGGGAGTGAAATATACAAGCGGCAAAAATGTGTATTTGTGGCCGCAGCCATGAATCGTTTCTTTTTGACGACGTGATTGAAATACCAAGAGTTAAAATTGTAATAAATCTCGCACTGATTGCATCCTGTGGGAATTAAGTTTTTTTTTATTTGTACGCACCATGTAGGTACATACCAACCAACTGCAAAGCGAGATTTTTACCCCTGGAGACCTGCACGCGGGTCCGAGATTGATCGAGCGCAGGCGATTACGGTCATAAATTCGTAACACGTTGCGGTTGAACAACAAACAGCTTTCCCGGGTTTTCACTCCGAGGATGCCCGCGCGGCTCCTAATTAAAGTATCGAGATGAGGGTAATTCACCCCTTCCATGCGGGAGCTGCTGCTGCTGCTACTGTCGGGAAGTGTAACATCACGTAAAAGTTGAAATGCTTTCGAAACGGCTGGCTGGTAAATACGTGATACATACTTTGACGCCAACCTACAGGACGACAGTGGAAGTCATTGATGGCGTTGAGAGGGAATCGGATTTCGACAACACTGCTGAGAACAGAGTTTGTATGGGAAATTTTGAATTGGCTTATCTCCAACAGACTATTGTGTAACTATGCGTATTCATAATAGCTGATTAATAAACCAAGTTTAGGCAGAATTCGTGAAAAAATACAGGGTGTAATTTCTTCCAGAATAACAAGGAGTGACGAAATCTTCAGTAAAGATGATGGGTTTGACATGCTCCATCTTTTGAAGATATGAATTTTGTGATTAGTCCCCCTAAATGTGAGATGGATAATTTTTTTTCCAGGAGGAGTCAATCGCATATCATCAGAGATACTGACATCTGACCCCATGCTATCCGCACATGTATAAGATCATAGAATTCCAAGAGTCCCTGCTTTTGGTGTTCATTGACTACGGAAAACCTTTCAACCAACTCAATCACGAGAATTTGTGGGGAATCCTGAGGTGAAATCAAGCCTCGAATTATTTAAATCGTCAACCTCATCGAAGCGCAGGAGCATCTCAACGACTTTGACTTTGATTTGGCTCGACCGGGGACCAACGGATTTACATCCCTTACAAAGGAAGGCGTGATCAGAGATTTTATGCCTCAGAAAATCCCTACGGCACCATCTGATATTGAACCCAGGCCCATTGGGGTGAGAGTCAATCACGCTTAACACTACACCACCGGCGTCGCTGGATTTGAGAAATAGAAGTATTTTAAATTTCAATCCCATTCCTCACCGTGCAAATGCTGAAATCTGCATAATCAAGACGTTGTTCAAGATGACCGCGAACGACCCAGCATTTTTGGGCCTATTAGCTCAACGGTGCTCTGATACGCATAGTAAGCTCGATGACCCATCCGAATGCTCCTCTGCGGTGGGTCTAATCATCGACATTGACAAGACCAACTTGTTTGATGTCAACCCTTCCAGCTTGACGGTAGCGAAGCATAACGTCGAAAGTTTCCAATATCTTGGCAGCCAGACTGCATCAGACGATGGGACCAAGAGCGACACAAGTTCACGAATCAAAAAGGCTAGGGTACAGGGCAGTCAATAGCTTTAAGAACTTGTATTGATTCCTACTCAATAAATTACTCATCACTCAAAATTCTTGTTTGGTTCATGATATCTGAAATTTCAATAAATTATTTGAGATATGTTTTATATGAAGCACACAGCACACAATTATTTACTCTTGAATTGTTATTCAAGAAGCATCGAATAGATTCATTCATCTTTCCTTGATTTGTTTTCCGTCGATCTTGTTTTCCGTGCTGAGCACCAATGCTACCGACGCCAGGAAGGCAGCTCCCACACCTGGACCCTACCTATCGACCCATCAACTCATGAACCGGGGACCAACGGCTTGACTTTCCTTCCGAAGGAAGGCGTGATCAGAGATGGTATGCCTCAGAACATCCCGACGGCGCCGACTGGGATTGAACCCAGGCCTGCTGAGTGAAAGGTAATCACGCTTACCACTACACCACTTGCGCTGCTTAGATCCATACATGTTTCATGTATTATTATGCCAGCTCAAGGTGCCTTGAGAACCACAAAGGGGGCCAAGGATGGGCCAAATTGAATTTATAAGCCTGGCTTAACTATAAGCTTTTTTCAAGATGAATATAAATTTAATTTTGTTGCTTGGGTATGTGATCTTATGAAATATTTGGAGATCATATCAGATAAGTCAACATACCAACATATTTTAATGATGAAAGCGAAATGAGTAATGTAGTAAAGCTTGAGTCATTAAATATCTGGACACACAATAAAAAGCGTATATATCTCGGAACCATCAATCACCAATCAATCAACCACCAATGAAATATGATGAAGTTCATTTATTGAACTTTAGAGGAAAAATAGCGAAAAAAAATCCGATTTGGTTTTGGTGAAATTTTGAACTTTTCTTCTAAAACCATTCATAATATTTGGGACACTCTGTTTGCTAAACTGAGCGGCCGTTTTGTTCCATCATGTCTTCATCTCTGTCGCATCCCGAGTCACCTTTCCACTCTTCTGCAACTTCTATTTGACAATTGCCCAATATGTCTCATTCGGGCGGAATTGAGGGCAATTGGGTGGATTGATGTACTTTTCGAAGAAATCTACCCCGTTGTCTCGATACCACCGTGGAACTTCTCCGCTGTAGTGCCAGCTTGCCAAATCAGGCCAAAACTTTACAGGTTCATTGTAAGCCCTAATGTACGGAAGAATACGTTTTTTTCAGGCACTCCTGCTTGTACATTTTGAAATACATAGTCTTGTTTGTCACAAAAACCAGGGTTTTTTGCCCAAATATGCAAAAACCTTGCCAGATCATAAGCTTTCCTGCAAATTTATCGGCAAAACGAATTTGAACTGCTTAGGGACATCACCTCGACCAGTGGCTTTATAGAACGTTTGTCCGGGAAGCTGCCCATAATCAATCTTCACGTACATACGTTTCGTCGTCCATGAGGATGCATCCTTCGTACTTTGTAATAACCTCATTGTACAACTTCCGGGCACGTCTTTTGGCCACTAGATTCTGCTTCAGTGTCCTGTTTTGTTGCTTACTGCTTAAAAGCTTTTGAGAATTTCTAAAATTCTTTCAACTTCCCTTAAGTTCCTTGGACTAACCAAAAATACTCTGGTCTTTCAGAACTGCCTCCCTGGCGTTGGTAGCATTGGTGCTCAGCACATTGGTGCTCATATCGTCGGAAAACAAATCAAGGAAAAAAACGTTTTTATTTGCTAGTGCAAAATGTTGTGAATCTGCTTTATGAGAAAATGCCTTTGATGTATAAAATAAATCCTAACTGACCATCTCTGCAGGATTTTTTTTTTTTTAGTTTATGAGAAATCAGACATTTTTGAAAACAAATTTAAGCTACGTACACTTAGTCAAATATCCTCTCTCCTCCCTCGTAGACTATCATATACTTTTTGCAACCCTCTTCTTCCCCGTAGAAAGCATACGTGGTTTATAAACGGTTAATTTTCCTGAGATTCCAAATAGGCTACGCTAATTCTTCAAGATCTTTAAGAATAGACGTTTAAAAAATCTGAGTTTCTCTGAAGCTATTGTAACTACGCTGAAGAGCTAGCCTGAACTTCTCTGGACTTCCCTGAAGATTTAGGAACTTGTCGAATGTCCCCGAAATTATCCTGGAATTTATTGAGCTTTCCTGATGATCATGCAATTTTTCAGTTTTTGGAACATCTCTGAATCATTGGAAGTTTCCGTAGTTCCTCAGAACTTATTCCAACATCTTGCAACTTCTTGAAATTAATGTAACTGCTTGATCTTCCCCAAAGTACTCTAAACTTCTCAAAAGT